GGCAGTGAAGCTAGCAAAGGCTTCACAAAGTGAGAGATCAGTCCGGGAACGGCCAATGAAGAAATGGTGGTGTGCAGTGTTGAAGAGGCTAGGTTGGAAAGTGTGGGAGGAATAAGTGTTGCAGATGTGTGGAGAGGTTGGGTTGGAAGGTGTGGGAGGAATAGTTGTTGCGGGGGTATGCAGAACTTGTGCTGTATGGAGAATCTATCAGTAAAAATGCACTTGCACATCGAGCCATTTGTGGGGACGTGTGCGTGAGTACAATTGAGTGAACGGTTCTGAGCCTAGTTTCAGAACATGTTCAAACTCTCGAACCATTTTGATTGCAAAAAAATCTTACAGTATGAATAGCTACTAGGACTCTCATGACACCGGCACCAGCTCGAGGCACTGGTGCTGCTCATTTTGGTTTATGTCCAGCAGGTGGAGGAGATGTCGGAGGTTCACGTTGAACAGGTGCCGGTGACAGTCCCATCGATAGTCTGGGCATAATTAATTGGACAGTCAACGCCGCAAAACTTGCTCAGGACATGGGTGATAAGCCTCTCGCACTCAATTTCTGCCATACTGACATGTGATGCATAGCACCGAGCAGCAAGTAATCGTACACCTGTATCAGGGTGTCAGGGTGAGGCAGGAAGAGTAGTTTGAATAATAGCAACCTGTCCCATAGCAGACTTAGGAAGGAGACGATTGGTGCGGAGAAGGTGAGCAACATGCGGTGCAGACGAATGGTTTCAATTTCAGCAACAGAAGGAGCCGCAGCTATGAAAGCAAGTGGTCCCTTGAATGGACATGGTTTTTGCAAGAAAGTATATAAGCATCTACAACCAGATGTGAGACAAATAACACAAGTGCGATAAGAAAGCGTATGGATATAGCTCCTCATGAAGCTCAATGAGGAGACGAAACATGATGAACCTGTCTTTGATATTGTCATCGTCGTGAGGCCATCTGGTGCATAAATTGATCAAAAGGGGTCTGAATAAATCGGTGATTGTCAGAGTGAGAGCTGGAACAGCTAGCAGTCAAGATAATGTGGATAGAGCGTGTGTTGGTGTATTCGCTTTAGTGATATGTTGGATATGGAAGTGGTTGATATCAATGTCACATCGACCAAAGTTTGGTCCAGAGCTGAGGGTGAGTTCTCATTGGAGATCTACGCACGGGTTAGCATTGTCTATAAGGTTGCAGTTATCACATACCAAATAAACAAGAGTCTAGATGCAACACCAGAGCACATGACTTTGAAAGAGAGACTCCGAGTCGAGAAGGACAAGAATCCACATGCACTGGCAGCGCCAGAGTGCAGATGAACAAAAAGACTCGACTCGGAGAAGAGCAGGAGTGAGCACTGAAATCAATCACTCTTGCATTTGCCAGGGCCAGCAGCAATAATGACAATGAGAACATTGACTTCAGAGTGGTGTACGAATGGAACAGGCATCGTGAATTTCAAAAGAACTATAACTTAACAACAGGGAAAATGTAAAGGAGTGCGTCAAACACTTCGAACACTAAGCAACATAAGACAGAGTAACATCGACTGTGTGAAGCACAAAGACGGACAACTCACCTTTCTTTCTGACTGAATCTGACATATGATGTCTTATATGGGTATGTTGGATTTGCAGAAAACCCGTTAATAGTGCGTCAGCGATTTCTATGGTGTCAACAAACCGACATCCTGTCATTGTCAATGGATGAGCAGCATCTCTGGTCAGCATAACTCAAACTCAATAGATTCTGAGGATGTGATGTTCTCACCCAGAAGGGCACTGAAGTAGATCCGGATAGCCTAGACCAGGAAACTTGTCAGAAGTGTTTAAGGTGACAATTGAAATCAGATATAAAAACATAGCGCAAGAAGAATCATAAGATGTGTGATGGTAAACAAAAGTAAGAAACACAAAGCAAAAATCCATTCAGACCGAGGAGATGTCAGGTATCATAGATGGTAACCTGGTCGTTGACATCATCACACTCATGCTCTGCAATGGCTTTGAGAACAGTGTCATATGCACAACTGTCACCTGTAGTTCCACTGGAGACAGGCGCCAAAAGCTCGCCGGAGCCATTGTTGGATACCATCGCATTTTCCATGGCCCATTGCGACGCTGCCCAACCTCTGGTAAAATTGAGTTGCTCCTTTTTTACAGAGAACTTCACCATCTGTAGTGTCTCCATGAGGACTGGGCTAATGCAATTGCATTTTTTTGTATATGTTTCGCTGCTTGACAAGAACACCCGCTCACAGGGAACAGCAGATGCCTGGACTGGGAGGTAGTCCATCGCGATGGTGTATATTGTTGGGAACATTGCCTTGGACATCTTGTCAAAACCTCGTGGTCAACGACGAAAGATATAATTCAACAGAGAACAAGACTCTCACCTGCCAGAAGGAGAGTACATTTGTTCCCTTGGGGCTGATATTAGCTGTGCTGTAAGCCCCAAATTCCTGATCGACCGTCTGAACAATATCATGGCAATTGGGCAGTACATCCCTCTGAGGAAGTCCGTAGATACGTGACCCTAGTGTGCGTGACTGTAGTCTTGAGACTTGATGGGTTGGAACTGGTACATCGGGGGTCCTTTGTGCTCTCTTGGCATGCATCTGCAGGACATATGAGTGCATGCTGTTGTTAGTTAAATAGGCATACTAGTTTGAGAATGAATTCCTTTGCTAAATTAACTTGATTTTCATCCCAATGATCTGTGGCCCAAGACATCTGGCACGTAGGATCAACAACTATCAAATAAATTATAAGACATCAACTTTTATGAAAATATGAGAGACTGACACATCACAACTGCATATGCATTCGTGCAAGCCATCCGGTCATCATACTTCTCCACCCAAGTCAAACCAATGTTGATGAGCGGTGCACAGTGTGGGGCACCATTGGCCAACTGTTTCCAATCCTCGAGTAATCTTTCAAAAGCTGGAACTGCACTACCCAACATAGGAGTGCTCTCGCTCGACATAGACTGCTGAGCTCTGTGAGGGGGCTGACATTACGTAGTTAAATGTAACATAGGTCACGGAGACATTGGTACTGACCTCCAGAATTACTTCGAAGTCTTGTAGGAAATGCCATTCCATTGGACTCAACTTTTTGTCGTATATGGAGCATTGATTGGCAGACTTGAAGAATAAATCAACTGCCTGGGTAACTGTTAGTCCATGACAGATGTTTAGTGAGATGAGGCCTCACCTGACATAGATTTTATAGATGATTAAGCATGACATAAACTGAATCCCAGCGAGTTGGTTCATCGAGTAGCAGTTCGACTGTAGGGAGCTTTATGGGCTCGCCATTGTTTCCTTGGAACCATTGCTTTCATTACCTATCACAATAGTATCTCTGAAATTCCCACGTCGTTGGTTTGATGCACGGATGGAGCGCACAACATTTCTGGCCCATTCGAGAGCTTTACCAGTGATAACGCCAACATATTCCTTCTTGTTAATAGTTTCACCACAAACATCCCATTCGTCCTCCAAGCACGAAAAGTCCACCATGGTGTAGTCGTCGACAATATGTTTCATGCATATGTTGATCACATGCGGAAAACAGGGAATTCTGTTTTTGATTGGATCATAATTGATCTGGCATTCCTCGAGTAAGCAGGAGAGCTCCTTCATCGATGTTTGATTATTTGCTGTGTTGTCCAAAGTGAAGTGTCCAGGCTAAACAAAGTCAGCGTGTGTCGTATAGTACAGCTAAACACTAACATCAGTTGCAACATCAGCATGATCGAGGAGATGCAGTATTATTGAACTGAGAGATTTGCCAGTATGGCTTCCTGGAACATGGTGAAAAGCAATCAAGGCTGCCTTCAAGACGAGCACTGATGTCTGCTCTTCCTTGGCAATCCAGTGGGCAGTGAGTGCCATGAATGGGCAGAGTTTCTGATCTGACCAGAGGTCAGATGTAAAGGATATCTTTCCTTGCGCCCTCTGTAAGAATACATAAGACACTTGATGGGAATCTCAAGTCTCGACAACTAGAAACTTACCGCAAGATCACTTTTCAACACCTGGAAATACTCGTGCCATGTGACAATGATCAATTCACGAAGTTTTGTGCGGTGAGGAATGTCTGACTCATTCACATCCCTCCACAGAAAACATATTAGGCACTGAAACTCCATACATTCAATCACATTTATTGCCTACAGATAATCAATTAGCAAGGCACATAGAAAGTAAATACCAACTCACCTGATCATCCACAACTATGAACTTCACTAACTGACGGTGCATCTCATCAATGCTAAAATCTGGTATGTAATCATCCGGAGATAAGCCAATTCCAGGTGGCAAATTGTTAAGTCCATGATTAGGGATGGGACCGAGTGAGTCGATATAATAAGCGGGGTCCTGGAGTCTTTCATGGATGGCTGCCAAAGTCCACCCTTCATTAAGTCACTCCTTGACTGACTTTACAAGAATAAGCCAGTGCAGGCGCTCTGCCTCTTGTAGGTAAAGGTCGGTATGGCAATAGAAAGCGTGTTTACAATGGGCAGACGTGCCAGTCATGTGCTTGTATGTGGTGATTTCATGTGAACTATCCACCTTCTGTAACACTCTGGACAAGGATGTAAGAAAGAACAAAAGAATGGCAGACAATACTCACTCGCAGGGTTGGCAGACCTTGTGATTAGTAGCTGGATCTAGCCTAAAGAAGTAATGGACATCAGCAGTGCTTTTAGGCTGTGCTCCTTGGATACCCATGGCCAATGGATCAGTTTGGGTAGAGTAAACGGTACTAGTAGCTGTTTGCAGTGGGCCAGTAACTGGAGGAGCCCTGACTCCAGGTGCAGGTAAGTCATCCTCTTCTTCACCAGAGACATTGCCGATGCTAATATATTCTCCATCATCTGCCGTATGACTGGTGCCAACTTGAACTGGGCTGTTGTCGCAGAATCCCAGAGGCAGTTGTCGTTGTCTCTGAGGGTGTTGAAGTGTAGTTGCATTCAATGCAACAGCAGCAGCGATGGGGGCTGCAGCTATGTGGGCAGCGGTGATGGGGGCAGCAGCTATGTGGGCAGCAGCAATGGGGGCAGCAGCAATGGGGGAAGCAGCAATGGGGGCAGCAGCAATGGGGGCAGCAGCAGTGGGGACAATTAGAGGTACAGCAGCAGGGGTAGGGGTGGTGGCAACCTGGGACTTCTGCCCTCGTCGGCGAGGAGGCATGTTCAAGTGAGTGTAATGGTGAACATTCAAAGACAGTCTTTATAAAACGTTGTCCTGGGGAAATAATGGGGAAATCCCAGTACTGCGTCAACTAATGACAACAGGTCCAATGTGTCGCACAAGCGAAGTAACAGGTCTAAGCACAGCATCATCAATTGTGATATGATGCAAGAGGAACAACAGAACATACACCCAGGGACCAGGGTACATACTGTGAGATCTCCTTCACTTGAGTAGTCCTAGGCAGCACAACATGTGAGTGGGGTTTCCCCGATGCCCACCATAAGACATGTATTCTGATGGGCACTTAATCTCGCAATCAGTTGGATATATATCAAGTGAAGTGAAGCTTACCTGCATCCCTGGAGTCAATTGGCTGAAGTCCAGAAGCGAGATCGCAACACAGCATGCCATCCAGCAAAAGGGACATGGCATGTTTAGAAAAAGTTCCCCATGCACCATCCAGTAGGGTATATGATAGAAGATCTTCGTGAGGATTCCAACCCAGTACCAATGTCTATGGTTGTCAGGTTGGGTGGTTTTCTTTGTGAGTTTTCTGTCAAAGAATGCTTGTATCATTAAGCAGGTGTTTTGACCACATTAATGGGTTGAGCTTACCTTCATTCACGTGGTCAACAACTGATCAATTGAATTTTGATTTTATAGCGAAATGGGAGTCCGGCAGGCAGGTCCCCATGCATCATCCAATAGGCTGGCCAATGGCCATGATGCTGATTGGTGTTGATGAGTAGATGTCGGGAGTCAGGGCTCAGACCTGAGGAACACGTATCCAAGACAAGTTTGTTTCTGTGGCAGGCTGGCTGATCTGCAGAAGAATAACACTTGCATATTGCGAGGACAGGCAAGGAGGGAAGTGCAAAAAAGATAAGAAGCGCTGCATGGGAGTCGAGAGTTGGGAATCGGGAATTCGGATGATCAATGATTCATTGACACGTATTTGGCCGCATCCAACCAGAAACAAGGTTCATTCGTACACTGTATAGGTTATGTGCAGATAGATACAAGTATTCAACAGTGTGCTCTAGTAACTAGTGTCTTTTTACGGGGTGGAGCTGAAGTAGTTGGGTGCATTGGAGAGCTATTACATTTACGTGGGTGCAAACTTAGAAATCACTTGAGCTTCAGATCGCAGGAAAATGAAACAGATCACTCACACATGAGTTGATCTTTGAAGAGGTGTTGCATCCAGTGGGCATGAAGGCACCACCTTGTCCATCCAGTGTTCATTGGAGATTGGAGGTGGATGTATGATATGGTCATCAGGCTGACTGAAATCCAGCAAGCATGTGGTTGGTGCAGACAATGTGGCTTGAAGTGTTACAGTTCTCTCTTTTCACTTCTTCACGTCGTCACATATGCTTACTCATTCATTCCATAGTATTCTATTACATTCTATTGTACGATGTAGAAACAACAACACAGAGAGGAACAGATGATGCTCCTGACTGTGTCTAAAAAGTTGTAGGTCGTGCGTTGCCTAGCCTGCGTTACTTGAGGAGACAAGTGCGTTCGACCCTAAAGGGGAAGCGAGTGCAGCGAAGGTCTAGTGGTTGGCGCTGAAGGTGCTACTGGCTGGCCAATGCGAAGCGCGAGAAAGCGCAGGCGCGCGCCAGGCGAGAAGGCGCGGGAATGCGCGCGCGTGTTTGCAGAAACAGGTAAGAGTAAGAGTAAGTTTTGCTTAAGTGGAGTTTAGATACTAGATAATAGGCGAGAGATGCAAGGTGCCAAACAATAGATTTCTACTATGTTCTCTAGGTAGTAGGTAAAAGGTGGTAAAGTCCAGTGTCTTTCCAGTATGTACTGCTGGCGCTTATATATGGCGCCTAAGCGCTGTCATGCGGAGCCGAAGCGCTACCGAGTAGGTATGTAAGGATATATGTAACTAAGGGTCCATGATAATAATAAAAGTGGAACGATATGTCAATAAGAGAAATGGAATTATATGCACTAGTGAACTTGGTGGACAGTGGATGGATGCTTCTGAATGGCTGGCGCTATAGGGCGCTCAAGCGCGGGAAAGCGCGCGCGTATATACCTCGTGAAGCGCGGGAAGTCGCGCGCGCATTGCGCGTTGCGCGGGAAAGCTGCGCCTCGTATACGAATAGCTGTGGATGGCATACAGAGTGATGCTGCAAGTCGTGCTGTGTACTCCCTAGTGAAAACTATCATATCAGACCATGAGACGCACAAGTCTCTACAACGATTCTCTTTCTCTTTTTCCTATTTGCTATTCATATTCAAACTCCACTTCAATACTCATATATATACCTTACTTTCTACGCTTTGTATCTTTAACTTGACCTATGCAGACCAGGGCCTGCAATCTAGCTTCATCTTCATCGAACATTGACTTTGACTTTGATCCTTGAAACGTAAAGACGTCTAAACAATGCCAAGTGTAACAAAAGGTCAAGTTAACATCTTTAGGCACCGTTACTTGTAACTGGTGCATGAACCCAGAACCCACGATGTCTCACTTAGGACAGAACCCACCAGGTTTTACCTGGAGCGATTCTAGACAAGCCCTTGTGAAGACAGAAGACGACGACACTTGGACTATAGCTGAGTGGAGAACTTATTACGACAGATTAGCGCCCCAAGGACAGCGCTGGAACTTTTGGACTGAATCTTATGAAGATATCCCAGCTCCTCTTCCCCCGAACCCAGAAACCCCAGACACCCCAGACACCCCAGACACCCCCGACTCAGACGATGAAGATATGCCTAAAGAAATCGGCTCTCTTCCCGAGGTCTTCAATGGAGACACTCGCAAGGCCACTGCTTGGTCTTTACAGATGGAAGCATACTTCTTGCTTAATGAAGAAGTATATGACCAAGATAAGAAGAAGATCATTCTAACGCTTAGTAGGATGACGAAAGGAGAAGCGGCCAAATGGGCTGAAGGCGAGTTGAAAAGAGCAACCATGGATTCCTCCGTTTTCAACTCATACGACACATTCATGGCTAAATTTAAAGCCACCTTCTATCCTAAGAACATCGCCGAGACCGCAATGAGGCAGATCTCTACCATCAGACAAACTGGCAGCGTCACAGCCTATGCTTCCCTTTTCCGGACTATCCTCGCCGACACCGGCATCAAAGAAGAAAATACGAAAATCCTTTTCTTCCGCACAGGCTTGAAGCATGAGCTAGTCTCCACTATTCTCACCTTCGAGAACATTCCTACCACCATCAACGACTGGCTTAGCAAAACCCTTGATGTAGAGGTGAGGAGGACGCTCCTCGCACCACCAGCTATGGGAAAAGCCAAAGATCCCTACGCCATGGATATAGATAAGATGGAGGCAGGAGAAGATGACGATGGTGAGAAAAGTACGAGGAAAACTTATCTCACGCCACAAGAGCGTGACCACAGGCGCAAGAACGGCCTTTGCTTCAAATGCGGCAAGAAAGGCCTAGCTAAAGATTGCCTGAACCATCCCACGGTAACTTCCGCCGCTAGAAAGACGACTACTAACTGCGCATCTAACTCCGACAAGGAGGATGACGAGTACAAGGAATTCCTTGAGTGGAAAGTGTTCAAAGCACGCCAGGTAAAAAGGCTGAAGAAGAAGGAGGAGTCAGAGGATGAGGATTTTTAGAATGGAGATCTGCACCGGTGTCAGATTCTCCCAGAATAGGACTTTTAGTAAAGAGCATTGGCGATCGTAATTCTATGCGTATTCCCCTCACCTTTCACTCTACTAGATTCCTGAAAACCACTGAAGTGGCTGCCCTTATCAACTCAGGCGCCAAAGGAGAGTTTATCGACAAAGAATTCATCCTAAAAAACGATATCAGAACTCATAAACTCAATAAGCCCATACCCGTACGAAACGTGGATGGCACGCTCAACAAGAATGGAAAAATCTCACGGTACTGTATTCTTTACTTTATGATCCATAACATTCCCATGAAAGTATGCTTCCTTGTAACCTCTTTAGGAGGGGAAGATGCGATCTTGGGAATGGGTTGGCTAAAGAAAGAAAACCCAGATATCGATTGGAATAATCAAGAAATCTGACTATGCGAAAGAAGTGTTCGATCAGTCATCGAAGAAGTATTAGACGAAGATGCTTATAAACCAAAGGAAAGTTCCAATGAGGAGTGGGATCCCGCTAGCAAAACCACCTCAGAATCCTTTTCTCATGAAATCCCTGACCTTATCCCCATGGAAGACGACACTGACGAAACAGATGTTATAGATCCCGATGACGTATTGATTGCCTACATCAAAGGCGAACATACCATCAGAACATTCTCTTTGGAAGTATCCGAACCCCCTCTTACTGATGAACAAATTCCATCAGATCACCGGTATTACTCAACTAAAGGCACTTTATTATGGAAAGCACAGAACACCTCTCAACTTCTCGCTCAAGAATTTGCGAAACCTAAGAAAACCTTTGAAGAACTCGTCCCCGAGTCATTCAGGAAGTATCAGGACGTATTTGGAGAAGTAGCTAACGGTATTCTACCCCCGGAACAAAAATTCGACCATAAAATTGAACTCAAGGACTCTTTCGAACCACGCAAGTGTAAGACCTATCTGCTTAACCCAGCGGAAGAGAAGGCCATGAACAAATTTATCGACGAACACCTTGCTAAAGGAACGATCATACCCTCCAAATCTCCTCAATCTTCACCTTTCTTCTTTGTAGGAAAGAAAGACGGTTCCCTCCGACCCTGCCAAGACTACCGATACTTGAATGATCACACGGTTAAGAATAACTTCCCATTACTGCTAATCTTGGATCTTATAGATAAACTGAAGAACGCCAAAATATTCACCAAATTCGACATTAGATGGGGATATAATAATGTACATCTAAAGAAAACCGACCAATGGAAAGCCGCCTTTGCTACAGCTCACGGCCTATTCGAACTGACAGTTATGTTTTTTGGTATGTGCAACTCTCTGGCAACCTTTCAATCTATGATGAATGACATCTTCGGCGATATGTTACAAGAAGGATGGGTAATTATTTACATGGACAATATTCTCATTTTCTCTGACGATTACGAAACTCACCAAAAAAGAACCCATAAAGTATTAGAACGACTCTGTGAACATCGCCTTTATCTGAAACCAGAAAAGTGCACGTTCAATGTCATGGAAATCGATTATCTTGGCATGATTATTCGTCCTGGCTCGGTAACTATGGATCCCGCTAAACTAAAAGGAATTTCTGAATGGAAGACTCCCACGAAAGTGAAGGAAGTCCGATCATTCCTCGGATTCGCTAACTTTTACAGACGATTTATTGCCAACTACTCCATGGTAGCACGGCCTTTAATCGACCTTACAAAGAAAGACGAACCTTTTATATGGACTCAAGAACGCGAAAACACCTTTGAAAGGCTGAAACAAATATTTACGACAGCACCTATCTTGCAAATACCCAACAAAGTGGCACCTTTTGCAATAGCAACTGACACATCATTATATGCCACCGGAGCTGTGCTCCTTCAGAAAAACGATAATGGAGATTGGTTACCATGTTCCTTCCTTTCTCAATCCTTTAACCCCACTGAACGTAATTATCAAATCTATGACAGAGAATTATTGGTGATTGTCCATGCTCTAAAAGCATGGCGACACTATCTCCTCGGATCTCCCTTCCCTGTAACCATACACACTGACCACAAAAACCTCCAATATTTTAGAGATGTACAAGACCTCAACCGACGCCAAGCACGCTGGCAGACTTTCCTTTCTCAATTCGAACTTCGTATTCAACATGTACCAGGTAAAGACTTAATCATTCCCGACTTATTATCTCGTAGAACAGATCACCTTCCAGTCGACTCTGACGAAAAGGACAACATTTCGATTCAACTTCTCCCAGATTTGATGTTTATTAATACCATTGACACTTCTCTTACAGACAGATTATGTATTTCCTCTTCTATCGACCCCATTGTACAGACAGCGCTTAAGGCGCTCACAGACCCTGAAACACCCCTTCCATTCCGTTCGGCTCTTTCCAACTGGAAATTGAGCGACGGCATTTTACTTTATAAAGGACTCACATATGTACCCCCAGGTGATATTTGTCATGAACTCACCTCCCTCCATCACGACTCTCCCACTGCTGGACACCCTGGACGTTATAAAACCCAGGAACTTTTATCCCATGACTACTGGTGGCCAGGTCTAGCAACCTTTGTCAAGAATTATGTCGACGGCTGCAGTATTTGTCAGCAGAACAAAGTCAACACGCACCCATCGTCACCACCCCTTGCACCCATTCCTGCTCCAATCTCTAACTGACCTTTCGCTCATTGTTCAGTAGATCTTATCACTGACTTACCCCTTTCTGACGGTTTCAACTCTATTATGGTCATGGTCGACCATGGACTTTCGAAGGGGGTAGTTTCACCCCTTGTCTCAAAACCATCGACTCTGAAGGAGTCGCTGTAGAGACTCATGCCTCTCATTGCGTGATATGGCTGTTTTCACCAAGGAGTACACAGCACGACTTGCAGCATCACTCTGTATGCCATCCACAGCTATTCCTATACGAGGCGCAGCTTTCCCGTGCAACGCGCAATGCATGCGCGACTTCCCACGCTTCACGAGGTATATGTGCGCGCGCTTTCCCGCGCTTGAGCGCCCTATAGCGCCAGCCATCCGGAAGCATCCATCCACTGTCCACCAAGCTCTCTAGTGCGTATATTTCCATTTCCTTATTTGCATATTGTTCCACCTTTATTTTTATCATGGACCCTTACCTACATATATCTTTACATACCTACTCGGTAGCGCTTCGGCTCTGTTACAACAACGTACACGAGTCCCCTTGCCACCCTGCCCTCTGCCACCAGCACGGCTATAGACGATACCCGGGCCTCGCCTGCCCTTGGTAGAAGAACACAGGATAGAACACAGGACCGATTATAGAAGAGAACTCCGGAAGATGCCGGATTAGATAAGCGGTCTGGACCGCATATGACGACATAGGTCTAGAAGACCTATTCTTGTATCAAGATAGAAGGCAAGCCTCGTGTTGCCTCATGTACTGATAGAAGGACGCCTCGTGCTCCTTATCCTAGATAGAAGCCTGCCTCATGGACACTATCTCTGACTCGATAGATAAGCAGATTAGAACCCAGCTTCGAGCTGAGCTTAGATACAATAGAGTAGCCTTATATAAGGTCGATGATTAAAGTAGATGTTCCTTACTTTAATCTTACTTGGTTTTCCCCTTGAAACCTCTTGTCTCGCATAAGGCTACCTTGCCTGACATCCGGTTCGCACCTTCGGAAGCTTGTCTTAAACGACCACGAACCTTCCGTCTGTAACCGCTATCATCGCCCACAAGGCGTACGCAACTTCTGCTCTTCTGTGGAAGCCGACAACCCTCAGCACTTGAACGCCATTGTCTTGGCCTTGCTGTTGTAGATCCCATCCAAGTCCGCACACGACCTAGTGTCGTAACAGGCTCCACATGACAGCGCTTAGGCGCCCTACTTAAGCGCCAGCATTACATACTATTAGGGGGTACCCTTCCTGACTTCCCACTTGACTTTACACCTTTTACTTACTTTTACTCACCCATTTACTACCTAGAGAACATAGTAGAAATCTATCCTTTGGCACCTCACATCTCTCACCTATTATCTAGTATCTAAACTCCACTTAAGCAAACTCACTCTTACTATCTCTTGTTTATGCATATGCATGCGCACTTTCCCACGCTTCACGCAGTACGTGCGCCTGCGCTTTCTCGTGCTTCACATTGACCGACCAGTAGTGCCTTCAGCGCTCACCACTAGATCTTCGCTGCACTCGCTTCCCCTTTAGGGTCGAATGCACTTGTCTTCTTGAGTATAGCAGACTGGGCAGAGCACGACCTTACAACATTATAGATACAGTCTGGAGCCTCATTCACTTCTCGCTGTGTTGTAGTTTCTACATCACGAACATTTTCTTTTCGAAAGTTTTCTCTAGATGCGGACTTTACGATAAACTTATATCAGATCACGGACCCCAATTTGCTTCCAGATTCCAACTTGAACTCGGAAGACTACTCGGTTACAAGAATTCCCTTTCCACCGCTTTCCATCCACAAAGTGACGGAGAGACTGAACGAGTTAACCAAGAACTCGAAATCTACCTCCAAATCTTTTGCGCCAATGGCCAGACAGGCTGGGCCGCTATGCTTCCTCTCGCTGAATTCGTTCATAATTCACGGCATCATTCTGCACATGGCACCTCACCCTTTTATCTTATGATGGGCTATCATCCGAAACATCTTCCCGATTCACATCCTAAAACCAACATCCCTAATATTGAACAACGCCTACTTATGCTGAATAAAGTACGCGATAAAGTGCTAGCCGCTCACAAACTCGCTCGTAATACTATGCGTCAACAAATCACATCTAAATTTGTACCATTCTCTTTAGGCGATAAGGTCTGGCTCGAAGCCAAGAACCCCCATCTCAGATATCCTAATCGGAAATTAGCCCCGAAACGCGAAGGACCCTTTACTATCATTCAGGTCCTTTCACCCATCACGTATAAATTAAAACTTCCCACTCAGTGGCGCATTCACCCCGTCTTTCATGCCGCCCTATTATCTCCCTATAAAGAAAACAATGTTCACGGTCCTAACTTTATTCATGAACCACCTGATATTGTCAATGGAGAAGAAGAGTACGAAGTAGAAGCCATCATCGGTCATCGCGGCTCTACATCTAGATGTTCTTACCACGTCAAATGGAAAGGTTTCCCGAGTTCTGAGAACGAGTGGCTTACTGAGAAGCAGTTGGGTAATGCTTCTGACATTCTTTCTTTTTATAAACGATCACATCGTCTTTAACATTTTGTAGTAATCTGGGCTTACTACCCTTAAAACGGGGGTAATGTTACAGTTCTCTCTTTTCACTTCTTCACGTCATCACATATGCTTACTCATTCATTCCATAGTATTCTATTACATTCTATTGTACGAGTCTCTTTCTCTTTTTCCTATTTGCTATTCATATTCAAACTCCACTTTAATACTCGTATATATACCTTACTTTCTACGCTTTGTATCTTTAACTTGACCTACGCAGACCAGGGCCTGCAATCTAGCTTCATCTTCATCAAACATTGACTTTGACTTTGATCCTTGAAACGTAAAGACGTCTAAACAACGCCGAGCATAACATGAAGACCATGAAGCAACGAACCAAGATGCCCATAGTCAGGGTCTTCTGAGAGCGTGTGTAGATGAGAATACTTGCAAATTCAACAGGGATTCCATCACATAAAACTTCAATGGTGGTGTTAACTTTCCGCTCGAGTATAGAACAGCTAGAGAGCTTCTCATGGTTACTAGTTAACCATGGAAGGGAGCCATGCAACAAATAGATCAACATGTATGTAAGCGACTCGAGATCATCACGACGACCCAGGTCAACTCCTAAGTGTTACAACACGTTACATGAGTCCCCTTGCCACCCATGCCCTCTGCCACCTGCACAGCTATAGATGATACCTGGGCCTCACCTGCCCTTGATAGAAGAACACAGGATAGAACATAGGACCAATTATAGAAGAGAAGTCCGGAAGATGCCAGATTAGATAAGCGGTCTGGACCACATATGACGACATAGGTCTAGAAGACCTATTAATGTTATCAAGATAGAAGGCAAGCCTCGTGTTGCCTCATGGACTGATAGAAGGACGCCTCGCGCTCCTTATCCTAGATAGAAGCCTGCCTCATGGATGCTATCTCTGACTCGATAGATAAGCAGATTAGAACCCAGCTTTAGGCTGAGCTTAGATACGATAGAGTAGCCTTATATAAGGTCGACGATTAAAGTAGATGTTCCTTACTTTAATCTTACTTGGTATTCCCCTGAAACCTCTTGTCTTGCATAAGGCTACCTTGCTCGACATCTGATTCATACCTTCAGAAGCTTGCCTCAGCACTGAACCTTCTGTCTGTAATCACTACCATAGCCCCACAAGGCGTACACAACTTCTGCTTGTTTGTGGAAGCCAACAGAACCACAGCACCTTTGATCGCCATTGTCTTGGCTGTCGCTGTTCGACCCATCCAAGTCCGCATACGACCTAGTGTCGTAACACTAAGTGATTATTGATTGAAGCGAATGTGGGAGTGCCAGTGAGACATTGATTCTGATGAAATGGGATATGGACTTTGGTTGCAGTGTCCCAGTATTCCTTCACGATACCAAAATCGATAATAAATGTGGTGTGCTTCAAATGGCCAAGACCCACCAAGACATTCTGTGGTTTGATATCACCGTGAACACAATTGTGTGAGTGGATGTACTCAAGACATGAGAGCTGGGAAAGGGTTAGCCTATCTGCAACAACCCAGCACAGACCAACTGACCAGCTGGTCTCCTAGATTTACGACAGTATGAAGGCTGAATTTTTGATTATGTGAGAGGAAAAGATCGTGCAATGATGGCCCAAGGAGGTCGAGAACCAAAGCATGATATGCTGACTCTCTACTGAACCAGAGAGCACGGGGTATTCCAACTCCACCTTCAAGTCGTTTTAAAATGGTGTATTCATGCTGTACAGAAGATGAGTGATTGGCAATGAGTTCGAGTTTGATGGCAACTGTGTCATCTTTGATAATGTTCTTTGCATGGTATACAACCCCTAAGCAGGGTACATAGTATGTTGAATTTTTACAATTGTAGTCAGCTTGTGAACGACGTACCATATGAACCAGAGCCCACGACATCTCCGAGTCTGAATCTACCATCAACTCATATTGGAACCTTGTCATTCATGGTATGTGATAACTCGAGCCTTGACGCGTTCATCAGGAAAGCGACACGAAAATGGTAAAGTGTTAGAAAGGTTTATTTAAAGTAAAATTCGTACAATATATATCACAATTGTACTTCAAATGACAGAGCTTTGAATACCCGGACTATGTTGGATAGAAACCACCAAATGCACATTTGTGCAGTCTCGTTGCAATTATCTGCCATTTTGTCACCAGATTGCAATACCCACCAGCCGTGAGAATGAATTATTAAGTTGCCCAAAGTCACCACAGTCACCTAGTTGAGCACTAGCGGTGATACACTATCATTCTGCCATGCCCTGGTCGTGGTATGTGACCTTTGGCTGTTGCGCAATCTCTAGATGAATGCTAACAACAGATAATTTTTTATATGGCCGGACTGCTTTGGATCAAAGCTGCCAACGGCCCAAATGTGTAAAGCGATTATCATGCAGTTTCAATCCGCTTATCACATGCAACCTATGCTTTTCAATGGAACTTCGACAAATCCTCCCTGGATGTTGGCGTTAGGTAAAGTCTTGCAACGTTAGTTTGTTTTGGACCGAGTTCCCTTTGGTACAAGGATGCGGAACGATGACGATGCGGTACTATCCGCCAGCTTACTGCTAAGGTATGGTCGTGAGGTGCAAGGTGAGTCAGTCATTCCATTCTCCACAAAATCTTAATAAACTCTGGCAGTAGATAAGGTCTTGTGACGTTAGCGTGTTCTGGACCGAGTTCCCTTCAGTACATGGATGCGGGGCGATGACGATGCGGTATCATCTGCCAGCTCACTGCCGAGATATGGTCGTTAGGTGCAAGGTGAGTCAGTCAGTCCATTCTCCACAAACTGTTGATGCACTCTGGCGCTAGATAAGGTCTTGCGACATTAGCGTGTTCTGGATCGAGCTCCCTTCGGTGCAAGGATGTGGGGCGATGACGACGCGATACCATCCGCCAGCTTACTGCCGAGATATGGTCGTTAGGTCCAAGGTGAGTCTGTCATTCTGTTCTCTACAAACTCTTGATAATCTCTGGCACTAGATAAGGTCTTGTGACGTTAGTGTGTTCTGGTTCGAGTTCCCTTTGGTGCAAGGATGCGGGGCGATGACGACGCGATACTATCTGCCAGCTCACTGCCAAGGTATGGTCATTAGGTGTAAGGTGGGTTAGTCAGTCTATTCTCCACGAAGTCTTGATAAACTCTGACGCTATATAAGGCCTTGCGACGTTAGTTTGTTCTGGACCGAGCTGCGTTCGTTACAAGAGTGCGGGACAATGACGACGTGGTACCATCCGCTAGCTTGTTGCAGAGGTAGGGCTATTACAATTCATCTCGGCTTATTTCAGATCATTATTGGCTGTAGGTCTATCTTCTGGTCACTCGAGTGCTCTAGTTGACGACAACATGCTTATGCTTATATTAGTTGTAATTTATTATACGAAAACATGTTTCTAGAAAGACTACGATGAAATTAAGTTTGAATCTGTAGCTTGTTTGATCGCAAGACGTTTGAGCCGTATTTTCGATAAGGCACTGTTGGCGCTGATAGGTCGTTTAGCGGCAGAGGAAGTGGGAAACACTTGGCTGGCACATAACAATGCATGAGCCTCAGTGATATAACGAAGAGTAATAAAAAATACCGATTCCACCAAGTGAGTAGGTCATCAACCTCCTTAGATTCCTCAGGATCTTCGAAGAGGTCGAGGAGGCTATGATAAACATTTTCTGAGTCGGTCGTTGTGTCGGTCCTTGAGAACACCGAAGAAGAACTTATAGCAAATCAGACCTTCGGTTGCATGTATGTCAGCTATCAGCTATTCAACGAGAAAGACATGCGTCGACGAACCTGAGTTGCAACGTAAGCTATGGACGCGATGGTGACGGAATTCATGCCATGAAGGCGAGCATTCCCGGACCGCGTGGCTTTCGGTTCTTTGTCGACCTGAACTTGGAGACGTAAAGACATGCTTGTAGGCCTGACGTGCAAGCAATCAGTAGTGAACTATGTAAAAATACATTTGCCTACTCACACATACCAACAAGTGGCTCCTAAGAAGACCGCACCATGGGTCATCTGCATCAAATGTATGGTGGGCATATAAGAAAATGGGCCATTGGTCCCCACAGACTAACATTTCGCCACTTCGGAGGTTCTCTCTCGTTCTGTTGAGAATCAAGCGCAAAAAACGTTGTCAGGACTACCGATGCTAGAAAAAAGAAAATGAAAACATACTCTGCGTCCTTCCAGTCCAACCCAGCAGGACAAAGCAGTGATCCGGTAAGCTCGTGGTTGAATCCCCGATCGATCTTTGAGTTCCTGTGTAGGGGGGGCTGAATTGCTGCCCCTTTCGGAGAAATCCAATCGAGCACTGCAGACTTCAACGTTTTCGTATCATCACCTCTCGCGCCTGCAGCTCCCTTACCGATCTATGAATTGTAAGCACGAAGTCTAGCCACGCAGAAAACAACTCACCAGCTCTCCAACATGAATAATTTCCTCCTCAGACCCGGTTTTCAGTCGCTCCAACAGGTCGGGATAAGAGTCCAAGAGCTGTTCGAAAGCTCGATGTTCTCGTCGTTCTCTACCAAAAAATCAGACAACAGTAAGTCAATAGAGACAATGTGTTTCACTCAGCAGGGAAGTCTTCCAAAGGAGTATCTTCCATCTGCTCCAATCTAAGGATGCCGTTGGTGAGTAGAGAAGGATAATTACATAGTGCAAATACTGTTCGACCGAAGTGACGCCCATGGGATATAAGAGGATCAGACATAGAGCTGGGCGACAGAATAAGTCTGCAAAACCTGTGTCGAACAAGGGCAGCTTACGCTTTTTTGCGGGGTCCCATTTGAAGGGCTGATGTAGCACGCTTGCTCGGAATGGTAGATATGGTCTCTTCAGTGGTCATGAGAGCTCGCGAGTCAAAAGTAGCTCGAGCATCACAGATACTAAAATCTAGCTTTTTATTTCCAGCAGCGCACCACGTGATATTCCAGTAAGCGGCGTACCTGATAGCAGCCAAGCAGTGGCCAGGGTGGCTGACGGCTAGGCAGTAGCCGCAGTGATTATGGGCCAGGATGGCCTGCCGGAAACGAACAACCTTTCGTCAAATTGCGGGGTGCCTGATGCCAGTCAAGCAGTGGCCAGGGTGAGTGACAGCTAGGTATTAGTAGCCGCAATGATGGGATGGCTTACCGGGAGTCGGGACCGAGTAACCTTTCGTAAAATTGATGGTGATAAGCTCCATGGTCCGAAAAAAGTGCTAATAAAGGACCCGAAGGATAAAAGCGTTCTTGGACTTTGCATCTTCTTGTATATCGCAGCTAGGCTACCATTGCCTATGCTGAACCTGGATATGCAACAATCATCATCGTGTCAGATCTCTGGACATGTTATTAATCTGAACCTCCGGTAAACTTAATGGCTTACTTGTCAAAGACTGGACTTGCTAATTCTATGTGTCAGGATTGAGTTAGTGCACGATATCACTGACAAACAAAGTGGCGGGTCCAAGCCTGAGGAATTCACCAGCGTAAGGTAAGTGTCAGATACTATCATCAATCATTTTCGAAGCTCATCATAGACCAGAGAGGTAAATATTGACAAGGACTGCCCTACGACAGAGAGCCGCGAGGAGTCCATGGCTGATGTTAAAGAACGACTGCGACATGCAGAGTTGGGTTGCGCGCGACTTGAAGAGCTGTACAAAAAATACAGGTTGCGTTGGCTGGAAGAAAATTATTGTGCCAGAATCTTGCAGGAATATGTGCCAAATGTAACCAGTACATCTCCTGGTCAGATCCCATGGGACGCCCCTTCTCCCATTCAATGTATGTCCGGCGTGTGCTCCCCTTCAATAAACTGACTGTCTTTCTTAGCGGACGATGACGACGAATTTGAGAACCTAAGTACAGAAAAAATACCGTAGTGTTACCGTGTCGCATGATGTCGCGGTGCAGACAATGTTGGTGACTCCTATCTTCGTAATGCGACTTGCGTGGGACATATCCATCCTATATTTGCAATACTCTCGCAGAATAATTTCAGGACAAGATGTTACTGCGGCCGTATCCTGGCCAGGCCAGGACCATAACTAGCAATCACCAATATAATTAAAGAACCTACCACAACACCGAGCGTAGTGAAGCACGCAATCATTAGAGGTGTAGATGGTCTGAAGTCTGAAGCAACACCTGCGAAGAATCCGAGGATGGAGCTTGTCACACTACCGAACCATAAGTGACACAAATAATCACGATCGAAGTTTGCTTACCTCAATACACAAAAAGAAGTCGGTATGCTTGTAATGACAACAAGCATCGCTGTCCTCTTTTGCAGGTAATATACCTGTCCAGTCAGTAATATCAGGCTTGTTCTTGAGAAAAAATAGTGTGAATCGAACCGCAAAGTCAATGGATCTCATTCTCTCGCCGAAATGTTGCACCATCGTGCCAGCAAAAATGCAGCCAACACCGAAAAGTAAAGAGCAAGAACATAACATCTGTGAGGTCACTGTTGTGCCTAAACCTGGAACAGCAAGGATGGCGATGTCCAAGGCCATGGAGACACCAGCCTGTGGGTGAATAAGTGGGTGGATACCCTCATTGATGTAGCGCCTACCAAGGTAATTTGACTTTTCGTCTGATTGCTAAGATTGTCGACAAAGTTTTTGACCTCCACTCCATTCACGATACCATCGACGGAAGTCCTCTTGACGCTTTCGATCGTGACCGGCATGCAGAAGACTGTAGCTGCAGTATTGCTCATGAAACAAAGAAGTTTACAGTTTCTACGCTTCTCTTTCACTGCATGGTTCCGAATCAGTCGAGCTTCTGGTTGGTTGTGGCGGTTAAGATACTGATGGTGCCCTAAAACGTTCATTTACTTGATGACGATAGGGTTTGTGAGAAAGCAACGCACGTAAGATGTATAAAATTCTACCTGTGAATTGGGATATCAGTACTTGAATTCAGCTTTCCAGGGCTCACATACAACAGAACACGATACCGGTTTCATGTATGAGCCCGTTGTCTGCAAGGTCTTCTGTTTCTTCATTATAAAAATGCTATGCAGGACTAGATACAAGTACGAACCGATACTGGCTAGATGTTCGATGATTTGCTTCATTTGCTCCAGGGTCCAGAATATCGAACCGGCCGTGGATTGACTCAACGTAATTGCTTCTGTGCCTGCTAAGCGATTCTTGCCATCCCCGTGATATAAAGCTTACCTCCAATATAGCAAATAATTTCTCTCCGTACGCTTCTCACAACCGAAACATCCATCGACAACTGCTGCGGAAAGAATTCAAAGTGTTTCCTGCCGACAGTGAGAAGTCTTTTGATCAATCAGGTTGGCACATCCGACCACTTACCAATACTGAGCCTCGAGTTCGAGTCCTACATGATTGCAATCGGTCTCAAAGAAAAATTCAAAGATAAGGTACTGACTCTTATGTTCCCATTGGCTTGGCTGGACACAGTCGCGGAAAAGAAGGTAACCATTTAGTTCCTCTATCCAGGCAATGATACGCTGGTCCAGAACCACATAGTAATATTGGAACTTTTCTTCTCCTCTGAACATTGTTGGATGAACGACCAGTATCCACGCATCTTCTTGCGTCACAGCTCGTAATGCATCGACAAAGTCATCGATCTTCTGGGGATCCTGGTACCGCCTTAGGTTTACCGAAGTATACGTTCTCTAAATTTTTATCGAGTTTATCACTTATACGATTAGCTAGGCAGCACTCACCTTGTCCTTATGATAGTAGTATGTACCACCTAATGGGTGGACAAATTCCTCCCAATTCCCATATTTTAAGGGCCTGTTGATGGCGTTGAAGTGAATCCATTATGAAGAAAAGAAACTAACCTAGGGACATCAGTTTTCTTCCTACCAACGAAAGTATCTTCAGGTATATCATCACTAATTGTACGCAGAAAAAGTCAATCGAATGCAATCCTACTCGCAGACGGGTACTCACAGCATCATCACTTCAGCGTACCGCGGGAGTTGCATTGGCCAAATACCAACCGCATGATTGAGAATCTGTTGCTGAGAACTGTAAGTTGTCTAAACCATGTTAGACTCTTGATCATGAGCACGTCCAAGAGGCACAGTTGAGCTTACCATGTTCAAGCCAGGAACCTGTGACTGAAGGTTGTTCGTGCCGTAGTAGTACGGAGAGTACAAAGACAATCGAACCAAACTTCCTTTTTGGGAATTTTATGACGTAGTCATCAGCGCGCTCAACTCAACAAGTAGACCAGAAAGCAATCGCAATGACAAGTTCCATAGATATCATAAGTAAATTATCGATATATATAGCCCACAAATATATTTATGCTGCGAGCTAGAGGTCTATATCAGAGACTACTGCCCCCACAGCAGTAGACGAACCCTAAGTATCAAAAGAAAGTGTTAGGACGGCACCTTATGCCAGCAGAAACTTTTCGCCCTACCCACTGGTGCAGTATATGTAGGTTGGCAGAATTATCCACGTTCTTGCGGCCCAACTCGAAAGCCTATGCGAAACGGCATTGTAGATATCGAGATGGTCCATCACCGGATCTGCATACTAAATGAGACGAAACAAGGAAGAGAAAGACATCAGTTGAATTTTAGAACCCGGCCACCTGTAATGAACGCACGGAACCCAGACTTGCGGTGTACACTACTACTTCGTACAGCTCACCCATCTGTCGAAGAAACTCGTCTACTCCTGGTCGCTTCTGTACATACATGTTGTGCCATTGATGCTCAATTTGGACAGGAACGACAAAGTCTGGATCTGGTATGGGCTGACAGCGAGGTACGTCAAAAGCAGGTATAAAATCGGAGTGAAAGATATACCATGATGTTAATATGGACGAGGGTCTCGTCCAGGTCAAGCACTAAACACTTCTTGCCAACATGTTTAGGCGCGATGGGTGGGAGAAGTGGCCATGGCTTTCCGTCCTGTAAATTCCAAGTCAGAAATATATCCATTGGACTACGGATCCACTCACAGAGCCCATGGGAATGCCTGCACCCCCATTCCTGATCAGCATTTCATCTTCCTTGCTTAACTCATCAAATGAAACATCATCCGACTCGTTACCATGTTCGGACGGGCGACTTGCAGAGGTCTTTAATACTTGACCAGGAACAGAAGAACCTGGCAGTTGTACGGCCCTACTGGTAGCGCCCGCAGTACTCTAGCAAGTCCTTAAGAGGTACAGCAGGTTGACCTGAGGATGCGACCTGGAACTACCGATGCGACCGGTGCTTTTTCAGAAAATTGCTTCACAGCATTGTCCGCGGTCTTGTGAGCCAGTAAAGTAGGACCCGACCCAACGCTTGCCACACCATCGACGTCGATGTCATGAGCTCGGGAATCGACTCCGACACAGCAGAAGAGCTTGCGAAAGAACGTGGCCAAGAAGCTCTCTTTGGGTTTCTTGACACGTTTGATCTCAGAAGACTCTACAAATGAAGCAGTGATCTTTAGATTGAGAGCGACACCGGAGACTGCTGCGCCTGGAATAACTTTGCGAAAGGAGTGTGGATGTGCCTGCGGATTCTTCACGCTTTTCAAGTGCCGGAGATGCAGTAGATGATGAAGAAGTATATGCAGCACTGCCTACATTCTCTTTGGAAGAAATAGAGGGACGAACGCGTGGTGGGACCTACCGGTCAATGGCATGTGGTGTCCTTGATAATGAATCCTTCGAAGGCGCGGACGCAGCAGCTTTTTTGTAAGCTGTAGATTGAGTATCTGATGGCATGATGATTACAGTCCTGGTATCTATCAGGAGAGCGTCGTCGAACGAGAGGTCCTCAACAAATGACAAGCAGGATGAGTACAAGCAGTAAGCTTGAAGGGAGGTATTGAACTACTGCGATTGTGAACAGTTGATATAAAAAGGGGAGAGTTGATGCAGGGACCTACTAGTACTAAGACGACTTGAAGGCCGTGGTCCAACCGCAACCTGCCTACAGTGTTGCCTCCCGTTAAGCAGCACTTGCGGCCGTCAACCTAAGCGTCAATTATTTGCGGCCGCGCGGAAACAACAAGGCAGCTGCCAAAAAACTGTTACATATTGCGTTCTGTCAGCCTGTAATGTGAATCCGAACCAGGTATGGCATCTTGGATCCAGACATCAGCTTGGCTTGAATGGTGACGTCTGTGGGAGAAAGATGACTGAGTTCAAGCGCTTGTGTCTTGACCCACCCAGGAGGTCCGAGATCTTTGAGAAGGAAGTCAGTCCCTCGGCAACTGGTTGGGCAGCTCAATGCTATTGTTACTTTCACGCCGAGGTACTCGTTGATCTCCTCGACCTGCTTGGTGATACACTGTACAGGAAGGCCGCAACCTGAGTGCGAAGATCTGCTGCAGTGATGAATGCCCGCAGGATGTTCTTCGGCAATACATGGGTGTACGAAGCAGCGTCGTCCTTGATATCATCATTGGAGACATAGATATGTTGGAGATGGAGAGGAAGATGTGTAGCAGAGATGGCACGGACATGCCAATCAGATTTGCTGCTAAACACCTGAAGTTGGTTGTCAGTGACAGTCTGAATCGTTTCACCTGTGAACAGTTGGTGGTCTGAGTTTGCACAGCGGTAACACCCTGCACCTCATTACTCTTTTCAAGCTCAGCCATCTGCTGGCGCTGTACGGAGGGAGCGGCAATCTCTTGACCAAGAATGATGTCACGAATTTCACTCGCAGTCAAGGACGCGATGTTGACGCTGTTCCGCTTGCCGAAATCCTTGGACTCGATGAGTCAAAGTTCAAAAAGTGTGCGATATTACTTACTGCCAGTATAAGATCCTTCATTGCGACCTCAACCTTGATCCATTCATCATCTGTAAGAGTGGGCCAGACGAAGTGAGGCTCTGTAATGGTCGACTTGTCTGGGTGCAAAATAATCTTCGCCTTCTCGTTGTTGACGTGCAAGCCACAAAGGAGGAGGATAAGACGAGAGAAGGCAGTGTAGCTGGACACCGACTTGAGCCAGTCGTCGTACAAGCTGAACAGTACCATTTGAGGTTGTGTAGCACGCTGTGAGAAACAGCATCAGCAATGAAGATGTAAATACGCGTGGACCCACTTACTAGGAAACGAACTTCTCCATCTTCATGCAAGCCTGGAAGGGCAGTTGTAACTCACTTCCCTTGATAACGATGTTCGGGAAATCAAGTAAATGAACCTCGAGAGGGTCCAACATGCCCTTGTGAGTGACGATGACCTGCTTCGGGTGTTCTTCAACAGGCAGTGAACGAACCAATGCAGCCACTTCTTCGGCAGTCTTCCACTTTGCGAGTTGACCGAGACGCTTTTGGCCAGCCCAGACACTGGTGTGGATGATTTTCAGGAACAACTGTCCAGAACGTGGGTTGAAGATAAAGATGGCGCCGTTAATCGGTTTAGTCGTCAAGTTACCTTCGAACGTCTTGTGGATAGTGACACGATACACATTAGTGTCGTCGACGAACCAAATGATCTGGTTCGAAAATAATTCTGAATAGTTCTGGCTGTTGAGATAAGGCTCCGTGGGCTCAGAAGAGTACAACTGGAGACCCTTGCGAATACGCTCGCGCAAGATGTGGCATGCCGGATTGGCCTTCATGATCTTGGCCATGGCTTGCTGAATCAGAGGCTTCATACCGGGGAACCAGTTGCCGTACGCAGACCACAGGTTATAGGCTAGATCCATGCTGATCATAACACCAGTTGGTGAGGGGTAGATACTCATGGAGTCGGACACGTAGTCCAAGAACTTGGCACGAGTACACCGCTCGATATCATGGGTGTCGAAGTCACCCCACCGAAGCTGAACGTCAATCCAATACTTGTTGCTGGTCGTGCCATCCAAAACGTCCTTGTTCTAAAAAAACGGAGAGATCAGATCAAAGTCCAATGGGGTATTGAAAGTGACCAACATCTGTGACCAATGAAGGCCGAGAGATATTCCATTTGTAGGCTGAGAACATCAAGATATCGGCGCAAGATGAATTCATCTTGTAACTCTTACAAGGGTGAATAGTCTCCTTCTGTACTGTCTCGATCTGGAGAGGCTCTAGCTCCTGATCAAAGACCTGACACAAGTCCATGACTACACTTTCGTGAATCTTCTGCCACAAGTGCGCACGGAAGATCTGAATCAGCGAGATCTTGAGGGTGGGAATCTTGCCGTGCATGAAAATACCCGTCAGATCAAGCTGGACCTGGAAACCGACATAGACGTTGGCGCGGTTGATGGTCGGACTCCACTAAAGCGTGAATCGACGGTTAGGGATCTGGTTAAGACCTGACCTCTGGGCGTTGGTAAGTTTCTTGTATCGCATAGACTCTTCGAATCCAGACGCTTTCTCCCAGAAGAGACCCTCCCAGGTAGGGAAATAAGTTCCTTTGAAGAGCGTGTGCTCCAAGATACCCTCAACACCGCCCACGCCAACCTCGGTCATATGCCAATGTATGGCGATCCTTTTGGAAGAGGGTGTTGATATGAGGAATACCGCAGTCCCAGCTATCTTCAAGATCTTCAAGGGTGAGGCGCCGATTCTGGGCATTGGCCTCCTTCCGCTTCATGGAGTATTCGGACCAAACACGAGCCGAATCCAAAAATTCTGCCTCCCATGGCTGAAGATATCTGTACAAGTTCGGAATCAACTGGTCCTCCTCGTGGGTCATACCAGCACGGAAATGCGTCACTGATCAAACGAATTGTAAGCCAGAAGATGATTATCAAAGAAGAGAGTGAACGAACCTCCAACGTCAGTTTGCTTGGACCATCGCAAGTCACTCTGCGGGATAAGAACGTGACCCATCGAAAGCATTCCAAGACCACCAAGCTCCTTCGGTGTGTAGAAGACAACAGGAGGGAAACGGGATGGCATCTTACTGTTTAAGCCAATCTTGACATGAGTTTGAATCTTGTTCTCTGCCTTGACAAGAGAGCCCAAAAGCTCGTTTGTGTGGATGACAGCCTCACGGTAGTAGGTCATCAAACCGATCAACGCAGTGTTCCACTTGTTGACGATCTTCGAGAAAGTGGTGGAACCGGAGCTCATAAGGACCTGACGAATACGGTTATTGAATTGCTGGACACCGTCATCGGAGACACGGAGGAACGCCTGCGCAGTTCTCTCTTTGGTCTGCTCGTTGGTGAGATTCCACACAGTGTCCTTCGACGAGAACTGCTCGCCACCCATCGTCCTAATCTTGGGCAAGATACGGACCTCGAACCCGCACATCGAGAACAACAACTGTGGGTTGTCCTTCGAGTAAACGCTGACAAAGGTGGCCTCCCACTCGATGGTGGTGAGTGAGCGCGGCAGGCTGTTCTTAACGTTCCAGAAAACTGCTCTTCCAAGGTTAATGTCATGTTTGATGAGACACATACGACAATCTCGAGGCCAGCAGCGTTTGTTGTTATACCCGATGACGTTGTTGTTGGTCGGGTCAGGGTTGGCGCTAAGATAGCATTGGATCAAGTCCCTTGCCTCATCTGCGCTGAAGCGGAAGAGAATGTGTAAGCGATCAACATAACGGGAGTATAAGCGGATGGGGTGACGAGTCTCGGTTGCCGAGTCGCGATACTGCAAAAGGTTGTTAGGCATCTGTGGAGGACCCGCCATCTCGCTAGCTCGCTGCAAGCCAAGAATGAGGAGATCAAGGACGAGACCGTAGTACTGGAAGACGAAGGCAGAGAACTGAAGACCACGGATGAGACCGAATGCATTCGTATGTGCCATGTCCTTGTAGGTCAGCACGGTGTTGTTCTTCGCGGTGATGTAGTCTGCCAAGTTGTGATCAAGAATGAGACGGAGGAGACGGTTCAGCAGGGTCAGGTCGATCTTCTCATACACCTTGGAGAAGACGGTCTCCATCATCACGTTGCACTCGCCCTCGCTCGTCTCCCAGATATCTGTCAAGTTGTTGATGCCTTGGCACCACTTGTACACAAGCAACGGCGGTGGCTCCATGTCGGCAGGTTTGATCCAGGCAGGGAACAACCCTCTTTTATCTGCCTCGAAGAAGAGGAATTGATCGAGATACTGTAAAGTATCAACGTCAGCATGGCATATAACGGAGTAAATGCTGAAACCTACGGTGTCGGTGATCTTCTCAACGGGCTCAATGTCGTAGCACGGAATGAGTTTGTTGTACGTGTCAAAGAACTCAATACCAGCCTCCTTGAACGCACGCTGGGTAAGAAGCAATCGCTTGATGCGCGACAGACATTCGTGCGGATTGTCATACACCTGTTCAATGAGGGCAAGCTCCTCACGCTGCGACTGATTAAGACGACCCTTGACTGAGTAAGCCTCCTTCAGTTTTTCAAGTGCAAGTACAAGCAATTTCGTATCGTGCTTGTACGACAGAGGGCTAGAGCAAACGGTAAGTTTAAAATGTGCAAACCATGCCTCGCTTGCTTACGGGAATGGTATAGGAGCAAATTTACGGCTCTCAAGCCAGTGAACAGTCGCTGTGTAAATTGCAACGGCCTCCTCCGCACTGATGTACGGCCCATCCTTCAAGTACCCATGCTGCCTTTCCTGCTCTGCTTTCAAGTACAGGCGTGTCAGCCGACCCAGATTTTTCTTCACTACTGCCTTATCAACTGTAGCACCTCGACGGATACGCTCCCGATTATAATGTGCAACCAAGCACCACCAATCAGCTTTGCTCTTGATGTACTGCAGAATGATGTTCTCAATCGCAGTGGGCATTCCAGGGACTTTCCATGGAATGTTCGCTTTCCGGCAACGCCACGCCTCCGAGAGATGCTGCAAAATCGTCTTCGACTTGTTTTGTTTAATAGACTCAGGCATCATGTCGAGAATGTCATGCATGACAGCCGCACGTAACTTGAGGTCATAGTGAGACTCGACATGTTGCTTTGTCACAGTCTTCGCAATGCCCTTGCTGTTGCATCCCTCGAACTGACGCGTGAGGAGGTTACCAAGCCAGCGCTCGAGTAACGGTACAATGCCTCGCATGAAGAAGAGCCAGACACGCCAGCCAGGAGCCCAGAAGCCATTTCCAGGACCCTTGCCGACAGGGCCAGTATTAAAGCGGTAGTAGATCAAGTGCTTGAGATCTTTTGTCATGCGAACTTGTCTCATGAGCTGGATGAATAAAATTAACAAAATAAATTTCGCCTATAACCGAGATTATGCGAACCTTGTACTTGTACCGGTACATACCAGTCAATGCCCCAATGTGCGCAAAGATATACTGCAGTGCGTCTGCAAGCTGGAAAGCATCGACATTGCCAAGGCGGAACTGAACATGAGCATCAACAACAAGCTTTGTAAGGCGCAGAATCTCGCGACATAAGTGGAAGGTGTTTCCGAAGCGAGACTTTTTGCGCTCCTTCGTAGTAAGCGTCTTCACTGGCTTCAAGTTCATGTTATAGTCGAGATGCAAGTAGTTCAAGTTCTGAAAATGAAAATTAGCTTCAATGTACCCCGGCGGTCTCTAAGAAGGCTTACCTTTCTGTGGATAAGGAGATTAAGCATGTTATACCCTTGTCTGCACACCTGCAAACCGGCTTCCACCCAGTCAAGTTTTGTCGTCTGAAAGAACTTCGTCGCCTTTAACTGCCAAAAGAGATTCTTTTTAGTCATTGCCTTCTCAGGTCGACTCTTGAGTTCGTTGAGGACGAAACACTTGAGCAATTTCTGGTACGATACGCGAACTTTGACTGGCTGGTTAGGAGGACAATGCTCCAGATACCAGTTCTTCACCAGAGGTATGTCCTGCGCACGACGCATGCGGCCAGAGCGCCAATTATAAGGCTCAGGCGCCGAACGACAGAGGGCTAGAGAAAACGGTAAGTTCAAAATGTGCAAACCATGCCTCGCTTGCTTATGGGAATGGTATAGAACCAAATTTGCGGCTCTCAAGCCCGTGAACAGTTGCTGTGTAAATTGCAACGGCCTCTTTCGCACTGATGTATGGTCCATCCTTCAAGTACCCCATGCTGCCTCTCCCGCTCTGCTTTCAAGTACAGATGAGTCAATCGACCTAAGCACCACTAATCAGCTTTGCTCTTGACGTACCGTAAAATAAAGTTCTTGATCGCAGTGGGCATTCCAGGGACTTTCATGGGATGTTCGCTTTCCAGCAACGTCACGCCTCCGAGAGATGCTTCAGCGGGCCTTGCGAGGCCTCATTATATCTGGACGAACGGTTTTACTTTGAAGGTTACTTTTAAAATGGTCGAAGTGCGGATATCGTTACCTTTTTTGGAAGTGTCAATATTTCAATCGGTTCAAGCTTGAAATATATTTCAAAACATCAATACACATGGGTTATCGCTTCAGATCTTTTGTGATTCAGAATCAACGTGCAAAAATGTAAGTACTACTAGTAGGACGTTTCAGTTCAATATGACCAGCAAGATTTTAGGAAGATTTGAGTAAGACGATACAACAGGAGGTCAATATCAGGCTATGTAGTACCTGCACTGTATGCTATGCGCTATTATAGTATACAGTATTCGTGATTGGTGAAATGGGAGATCATGATACATTCCTGCAGCGGTGAGATGGGTATAGTAGATCATGGAGTGATGGTCATAGTTGCAGTCTGAGCCTGTACTTCATCTCTGGAACTCTAAAACATCTTAGAGGAACTTGAGACTATAGATAGTTACGAAGTAAATCAAAGAACTCACCCTCTGCATGGCCGATCTTATGTGCTGCAGTACGCGAGCGCAGCCGCCGGTGAAACGGCGCATCAATTGCCTCATATGATCCCACAGCGGGGTTCGCGGAGTGGCAGTCTCGGGTATCAGAGTCAGGTACGCAGTGACGCGGTACACAAATGCATACCAAGTCTGCCAAAAACTCCAATTGTGACTGTTAAATGTGAGACTTTGCCGTCAAAATTACACGAGAGATGCTTACAATTCCGTCATTTCTTGCGTTCTCTGGGCTGTATACAACGCGGGACATGTTCTAACGAAGGCGTTGATTGATTCGATCGGAGGAGATTTGGCTTGATGGGCTTACCGTGAATATGCCTTATTGGGCGTTTGACAACAATTTTTGATCGATCTAATCAGCGAGTATGTCACACACCAAAAACAATGACAAACAACTTTGTGGGCGCTAATTTGCGAATGTGAACTTGAGGCGGTCGAGCTTTCGTACGACACCAGAGATCGTTTTACTAATGAGTAAAAGGGTAATTCATTTCTGAGATACACGTGTACAAAAATATTCAGAAGGCACACCGTTCAGATCATGACGAGTACAATATTCAAGTTGATCAAAGTGAGATAGTCGACGGTGTGAAGTAGGAAATGTGTATCTGCGCCATGCCAGTAACTGGAAAGGCGAATTCTGCGCTGGGGACTTCGAAATCTACGACGGACTTGACTTCTATGGGCCTGACGTCTTCAAGGGTCTTCCTCCGGCCGTCTGACATTACTTTGGGAATTCCATGCTTAGGCTCCAAAACTAAGACATTTTTCTCCCTAAACAGATGAGACGGATGAGTAAGATTACAATGTTAAAGGAGACTGACTTGAGAAAAAGAAGCTCATGGGCTTCCTTGAAGAAGACGCTGAAGTCACCTGGATGTTTGTACATGTTATCGAGGGCAGTCATGATGATAGGAAACAGCGCAGGAGCCTTCAAGTGAGAGTTGCTTTGTGGGGGATGAGTTAACCCTTGAAACATCTGATACATAAGCACAAATTTGGTCATCGACGTCTGACGAGCAAATAAGTAAAAGCTCACGAGGGTGCTGAGTACACCGACAACACCTTTTTGTAGATAACCTGTCCAAGATTGTACAGCGTCAGGGTATAGATCTGCCAATCTAACCTTTCCTTCAGCTAATTCGGCGATAGGTCGGAGTAACGAAGCCCAGAGCACTTCCCGGAAGGCCTGCGTGACAATAAGCTCCGTGAGGGCTCGTTGTATCTGATAGACAAAGTCTCAAGTTTCTATTTGATACGAATTTGCAGGTTCTTACCAGGTTTAGGTCCCCTGAGTCGAACAAACTAATCAAGTCGAGGATCTTCTGTTTCCGGTGGGTTTCGTGGGTCACGAATCCATCCGTAACATTCATGCTACCTCTGGCGACCTTACGTAGCTCAGAAGTAAATTCTATGTATAAGTCCGGGAACTGTGGAAAACGTTTAATGGTGACTGAAGGTAAACCGACAAACGAACATACTCTATTGCGCAAATATGACCAATCCACAAGGGTCTCCCTCCCAGCTTTGTCCGTGACCCTCACTAATCACAATGTTAGTTAGTGGTGTTGAGAATTGGAGGCGGACACTTACATTTCTCATTACACAATGATTCGTATGTTTGACCGGTGAAAAGCAGAGCTTTCAAAAAACTGGTTGTAATCAACTGCCTCGACACCGGCTCGGGCATATTAAAGGGGTTGGCAGGTATGCCGACCAATAAACACCCTACATAAAGGTATCTTGCCAACTTATATGGGCGTGCCCAAGGTGAGTCTATCATCAAACTTTTGAGCATTGTCCTCTGGCCATTGCTCAGTGGATCCTCTCGTGAGTTTTGTCTCCAATGGAGGTCTTTGTAAGGAAGTTGTGTCCCATCGAAAGGATGATTAGCAGGGAGGATCACAGCATTCGAGAGGCCATCACCCTCCTCCTCCAAAGCAGGTGTGAGTACGCCAGAAAAAGTCGACGCTGTGGTTACGTCAAACACGGAGGGATCATAATCAAAATCTAAGGGCAGGTGGAGGGACGTGTCATGGAACGATGGTCCAGGGAGCGACTGCCGAGTAACTTGATCAAAGTGCTGCCAAGATAACTCCTCCGAAAGCTTGACAGGAGGAGGGAATCCATATGGGAACATTGCCGGGGAGAACTGGAAGTCGTGTAACTCGTGAAGCTATGTATGACGCGCACTGAGTCCGACGATGTGGGGGGATTCGAAGGGAAACTCACCATCCACATGGGCACAAGTTTCATTTGTGTGCTGGCCCCACAATAAGGTGTCCTAGTATTCTCGAGAATTGAGGCGCCACCATGCTAATGTGTTCGTCTAATGAGAAGTGAACTCGACTGCATAAAAGATCTCTTACCTCAATAACCTCATAGATTGTGTATCTACTAATGTCATCTATGATGCCCAACAATCCCACTTGTTGTAGGAGCTCATCAGCAAGACCACGACATTCTTCAGGCCACTGTGAACAAGTACAATTATATGAAAAATTTGACTTGGAGAATTACAGACAGACTCACATAGAGTGGCGAAAGATGATAAGCATGAGTGACATAGCCAAGGAAAGAGAATTGACCTGAAAGGCCTTGAAAGGGCTGAAAACACGGGTCAATTAGAGTGACGACTGATGGCTGATAGTGAACCTCATCAATCTGCAGTAAGAAATCATGAGTGATGTGAATAAAGTCAGCCACTGATGCACTCACCCGAAGCGGAACAAGTCGCATAACTTTGTTCCTTGCTTGAACAAAAACATAGTTTTGAGCGTTGTTAACATGGACAGTTGGTAGCGCAGTTGACAGTTGCATCATCCCGGTAAGTTTGGAGTGATGAAGAATCAGACAACACTAAAAAGACCTTAAAAATTGTTCAAACATGCGCTTGTCTGCCCACATTACATTCGACCGCTAGGCAATGATGCCGTAACATATCAGCCATCGACATGCGTGCCAGGGGTTTAGTCATGGGTAGGCCAAAGCCAGTGATGGCCAGTCACGGCAAACCATGTATTGGAAATATGCCGGGAAGAAGCCAGGGGGCTTGCTAGGCGGCACAGCAGTGCCAGGCAGAAGTGAACATGAGTAGCCCAGCCCAGCCAGGAATCGGCACATGTGATGAAAAAGCGGGGGCGAATAAGGGCGATGCAGTAGCGAACAATTGATTATATTTATTAATTTTCATAATCGAATGTGTGACCGGCCAGAAACATCTCGTCTAGTGCCTGCATGAGTGATTCAGTGCTGGCATTGACTGCCTGATCGAAAAAGCCATGCTCCTCCACGCCCACGTAATCTTCATCGTCGTCTTCGTCTTCGTCCTGTTCATCGTCACCGGGAATTTGGCAGTGTGTGCGCTCCATGAGGCCTCCACTTTCTGAAGGTTCATGTTCTGTCTGTACTGTTGTCTCCACGACTCCTGCTTCATGAGAATAAACATGACCTACCCCAAGGCCATAATGAAAGCGCATGAGTGTATCGCGATCAACGAAGCTAGTGTAGTCCTATTATTAATGCTCATCCGCATCAAGTTATTTCAGGTCGCTCACCTATTAACATAGTATTCATGCCAATCGTGCTTGTCACCCGCAAGAGGAGAAATCCTGGATTCACCTGGATTGCGCTGGCCTTGAGAAAAGGCCAGGATGATATGACACGCCCTAAGAACCATCCCTGGGTCAACAAAACCGAACGCGTTCTGGTGTGCCAGCGGCCGGAAGCGAACTCGGCCCAAAGTATGTGAGTCCCACGCGTGAATTTGCACTGATTCATACCATCGAACAAGAAGAAATTCGAATCGGTGACTTTCGTACACATTGGCGACGCGCACGATGTTGACGTGGTGGATCCCAATGACTTTGGCATAGAGGTAGTGCCCATCATCACTGCGATTTGCGAGTAGCATAATGTTGCAATGCTGAGTCCTTGGGTTTACGACGTCTTGAGCTCTTCGAACGTCATAGGTGGTATAGTTGAATCGCGCGAGGTTGTGGTGATATATCCGATTCCGCTTGAAGAGGATGGTATTGTGCTGGTCGGTAAGAGCTGATCTCTCTAGAGGCGATTGGGTAGTTTCCGGCTCGAGGTGATCGAGAATATGGGTTTTCAATCCAGGCAGGAAATCCTAAGCGATGCTTCAAGATAAAGATCAACGCGTTACAGAAACTGCTTACCCTCATAGCAGGATCTCCTTTGTGGTCGCGAAGGTACTGACCAAAATCATCATACATTTTCTCGCTTTGGCCTATATGATGTTGGAGTTGGGGATCGTTGGCCATTTCAGGTACCCCTGCGTGAGAGGCTGGCTGTTGTCGTCGTTTGATGCGGCGCAAGCGCGTCTTGCGGCGTTCAATTTGAGTCAGTTGACGAACAAAGGTCCTTCGATCGGTGCGATGGTACCTGCCTTTCGGGGTACGATGCTCTAACTCCCCCTGAGAAGGTGAGTTAACATATACATAGGCAGCAGAATACAACTCACTGGTTCGGTACTGTACGAATCGGTTGTACCAAAATGACGGATGAAGGACACATAATCTCCAAGTACATGAAATTTGTAAGTCTGAATATTGAAAGACTTCTTTCGCCTTGGTTGCTTGGGTGCGGGTAATACTGAAGCTGCTCTATCGCTTTGCCTTTGCCTTTGCCTTTTCCATTATCTTCATTAGCTCGTCCAAGGTCATTTCCATTGCGTTTAGCAGCATCCTTGGCCTGGCGACGAGATCGCGCACCGACTTCGCGATCGAGCTCCTGGGTCTGGTATGAAGCGCATACCTTTTCCTTGAAGCGACGAAACTGTTCGCCAAGATGAGTCGTTTGTTGGTCGAGAATCTTTAGAGTGATGTCAGAATGCATACGGAGCTTCGCAAGCCCGTGCCAGTGTGACATGGTGAAAAGGAGATTCATAAGAACTTTGTTGTGAGGGACGGGTAAAAGACCATCGAAGACAGGGATAGAACACTGACAAAATTAGTTCGCGGCTATGTATGAGAATCTTGCGAGTACATACTTGTAGAAGATCTTCGAAATTTCGCGCAGCCATGTTCGACATCTCGGAAACATTCGAAGAGAACCGTCTAATCGTGGCCGGTCCAAACGAAGGGACCTTCCTATACCTGTCAAAGGTAAGTTTAGCCTGCAAAGCCGTTGTAAATGAATATCTGGCAGACCTCTCGTCGAGTTTATTGATCAGGTCCTTATCCAAGGCAGTAAGAATTCTTAGTAGATGGACTAGAAGCATGCGCCATACTCCGAGTTCAACCTCGTGCAAAAGATCAACAACAAGTGCAACAAAGATGTTGAATCCGAAAGGTGCGAGAGTATCTAGAAATGCATTCTAATCAAGGGTTAGCAAAGGTGAGAAAGAGACTGGTGGGCATCCTCACGGAGGTTGGCACCCACGAATCAGGTTTGAGGATGGTCTCAACTGCTGTGCTATCGACACCATAATGCTTCTCATAGATGAGACTGCGTGCGGTGGCAACCAACGGACTCCTTGAGGTATCAGAACGCGCAAGAGTCGCGCGTTGTTGCCTATCACGAGCCATACCCAGATGATGAAGCCTTGTTCTCGGTATGAGACATCGCGAGCAGGGACATCCTCCGAGCTGCCGGATAGTGGCAACGAGGACCCTGGTAGAGGTGAGGTGAGGTGAGGTGAGGTTGTATTTTCATCGACGAACATTCATAACTCACTTTTGGGATAATCTGCGGAATAGGTAAATATGCGCGGGTAAAACCTACGTTTGATGCCGTCGCAGCAGAGAATGACGATTCCATGCTCATAAGCCTCTAAAAATTCGCGATCCAGCAAAATCCTCCACTGGGCTTGGAACAATTCGCGGTGACAATGTGTCGTGCACTCGCGGCCAACACCCTTGCCCTCAGTGTGAGTACCCGCGAAGTCTTTGAATGCGTCCGGGAGCTGCATCATGCATGTCAATGCAGAAGAGTAAGTTAATTAAAAAATTATCATACCTTTTGAAAGTAGGCTACGTGATTACCGAGATGGTGAGACGGTTTACAACGGCGGTACTTGGATTCGTTCCCGAAGTACATATATACCGGCCATAACTTTGCATTGCCGAATGTCGTCAGCTGTGTGGCATCGGACCAGATCATAAGCGCGGTAACCACGCGAGGTAAATCACATCCTGGCTCTCCAGGAGATTCCTGAAGTGTGCTGTGAGCTTCCATGAAAGCTGGTGAAGTGTACAGTTCGCCTTGGATGTTGACTTCTTGCGGTAGATGGGGGGGCTTCCATCGCAACTGATAAGGTTCGTAATGGAAATGTTCGACATCCTCAGCATTTGCGAGCTTTTCGCGAATAACCGATATGAGAGACCGATGGTAAAGGTCTGCTGCAATGTAAGGTCGAACGCCTGGCTGAGCTGTGGTTCGAGAGAAAGGGACTTCGATTGTCACTTCCGTTTTGCGCCAACCTGCATCTTCATCCAACCATTCATCATCCTCTTCATCGACACTCGCACCTAATTTGGAGTTGATCTTGTCCCAATGCGTATGTCGCACATCATTGGGATCAAAATCCGAGCATCCGATGATATCGAGCAAGCCTTTGAAGCTCTGGTGCGACTTCTGTGCCGTGCCATTCCAGTACCAATGCCCAAGCTCGAAGGATGTTTGATTGGGGTATGGGTGAAACGAGTTGTGAGGCTCAGCAGGGCCATCCTGACCTGCTGGAGTAGGAATAGGAATAGAACTAATATCGTGAAGTGTTGCGGCCTCTTCTGGGTCATGAGACGGGGGGGTTGAAGAGAAAAACTGGCGCACTAGTCCGAATACATTCCTTGCCGTGCGGAAAGGAGCGGGTCGCAACGACGTACAAGCCGTGGTTAGTACACTAGTGGAATTTGCGACGGGGATAGATTCCGTTTGTTGAACGATATGACTTGGAACACTGGGGGGAGGCTGCGGGAGTACATCGTCGTACTGCCTATAACGTGATGGCATGCGAACATCAACACGTCGACTTCTGTTGCGCCAGTGATAAACCGTCTTCCTCCGTGGATGTTGTGCCGATGTTGGCGTTGGATGCTGCGATGGGTATGTTGTCCTGGATCGAAGAACCTGCAGAAGGCACCTCCCCTGGGGGGTGCACTGCGGCCAAAGGCAAAG